AGAATGCAAAAAAAAAAACACCAGCCAAAAGGCACTATTTCTCATTGCTGGCAAAAGAAGAAAAAATTCAATGCGCTCGAATGAAGAAGAACACAGAGTGTATTTGGTGTTGACGTCATGCCGAGAGACAATTTTGTGCATTGAGAATGCTGAAAATAGTTGCTTACGTTTCGCTACATGCCAATACCAGTTCGAAAATAAACCAAAATCGTATTGTTTTCCGCAAACATGACTAAAAAAGAGATTGTCAAATACATACACAGAAAGCGAACCAAATAGAGACAGAGAGCGATTGAGAGACAGATACAGAAACTAGCATCAACAAATGTGAATGCCATCGCAGCGCGTTTCAGGTTAAATTCATTGGTTTTTGGTGTCTGTGGCTTTGGCTTTGTTATTCGTTTGACACAATTGGATTATATGCCGCTGTATAACATAAAATACACATACACAGAGAGACGCAACACCTTTTTAAGTTTATCATTCACCGAATATATCATCTGAATGAAATTAAGTTCTCTCCTACGGCCATATCTATAATATATAAATTTTGTAATAATAAAGCGTGTTTTGCTGTAGCGCTAAGCCTCTAAATCATCGCATGCGATCGAATGATTGCGTTTCTCAATCGTTTAGCATGTGATTGACGATTTGGTATGTTCACATTTTTATTTGTCATATGAAAGGCCGATTCATTTTTTTTCTCCTCTTCATAAATACAACAATCAAGATAAAAATGCCAATTTCGGTAACAAAAAGCTATAATTTACAATCGCATTGAATTTTGCGTGGGAAATGTTCTAAAATAAACCGGAGAAAATAAATTAGCCGTCTACCAACAATGACGCAGTACAGCAATTTTATTGAATTGAGAAGCGTTTATCTCCCAATCAATCCAGACCTACTATTGTACTGGCATTGTACCAAATTAGTACAGTGAGCGTCGAATGTATCGATTACGAATGTGGCTTTTTTCTCGTCTCTTTCTCATTTGTGAACGGCATTTTACCGTTCGAATCATTTTTAATTAAAAATCAGCCGTCCATTGAGCAGGCAGCTCGGTTTTTGTTCGATTCGAAAATAATTTGAATATTTAAACATAATTTCCAATGAACGAGAACGAATAAAAAAAATATGCATGCCAAAGCGTGAATACCGATAGAAAGTAAAATTCATTTGACTTTTCAAACCCCTTGAGTTTTCTATAGAAATGAACCGTTTAGTGGATTGGTATCATCGCGCGCCAATTTGCTAGCACGTCTAATGTGCATTCTGTGCTCGAAGCCACATCGCCAATATGTAATCCACATAAAATGTAATAAAAACCACTCAAAAAGTTTAATAATCGTTTGTACTCGATTTTTTCTCGCTCTCTTCATATCAATTAATTAAATCGTGTCTGGAATATCGAACACTTTAAATGTGTATTATTGTTGTTTTGCATGGTATTTGAACATGTTCAAATATAAAAAAAAAATCTATCGTCTATCTATGCTTTCTTACCGCAAGAGATTTTTCAAACGATGGTTTAATGTGCGATGTGGAACAGGCACGTTTGATTTAAAATTCTATGTATGGCAAACATTAGATAGATTGAGCGAAGTTATAAAAGAATGATGGAAAAATGCAACAAAAACAGGCAGACGTCAATATTCTTGCGAATAAAGGCAATCTTTTACACTAAACACAAGCTGAAAAAGAAATAACAACATAAAAATGGTTCTCTTTGCTCTGGATATGTCTATTCTGTTAATAGTAATCATGTGAGATGTGTACAGAAGAAAAAAAAGAATGTTTGCGTTCGAAAGTCAACGAATGCCGCATCATTCACATAAAAATTCCCATTCGAGAGTGAAATCGACATATACACACACATTCAAACAGACAGACATGTACAAACGGCGTGTATGAAACGTGAAGATGGCACACAAAAGGGGGAAAAATGATCAAAGCAACGCAAAGCATTTAAACAATTTTCTATTGAAAATGCACATCAAAATTGCTACAGCAAATTAAATAATTTTCTATTTGCTTGGAACCCAACGGCAAAAAGGCGGAGAAGACAAGCAAAAAAAGAAAGCATGTTGCGTGCGCGCAATTCGTTTGTTTTGAATTGTCAGTGCAACAATTTCATTAGGCTCTTTTGCGGTCTTTGTGAGCAATGCTTTTAATTGTTATTTCTTCAGCCACATTCATCCGTTACATCTGCTTCTTTATCTTTATATAAAATAACTTTAAGCTAATTATCCACATTTTAATCATAAAAATTCAACCAATGAATCCACCAAATGAACATAAAGAAAATCTTCAACAGTGAATTTATGCAATTATTTACTTCTTTTGAATTTTATGGTCATGTCTCGACTTTTTGCAGGCACAAAAAAAAAGTGGCTGACAAACATTTTGTATGTCTGCGTGTTCGTGGTATATGGCAAAATGCTTTTTTGATATCAAGACATTTATTACATTTACGAAAAATGTGGTTTGGCTTTTTTTTGCGCAATGCATTGAAATGTTGAATATGTATTTGCTCCGATTTATTAATACGGAAACCTTCACAGAAAAAGCAACTCGAAATCGCTTTTGTGTACACATAGGCCACATTCTTGCGAAATTAATATGTGTTTTTATGAGTTTTTATGTGTGTTTTTTACATCTCTGTTTTTGGGTATGAAAGTGATAAATTTTGGCGATGCTGCCATGACAATATGACGATTACATATAATCGACTCAATAAAAATGAGCAAAAAAAATGCGCGTGCAGTAAAATTAAGCGCAATTTTGTGGATTAACACCACAATTCCACAACAATACAATCCATAAACGAATACATATTCACTCTTGTTCATCGTTGTGCACGCATTTACGGATATTTCAAGTTTTTGATCGCTTTTTTTCTCCTTCTCTACACTGTTGACGACTTTCGCACAATGTGTCATCAAAAATGAACCACTGAAAGGCGGAAGAAAAAAAATCTGAAGCGTGCTCATGTTCTTTGACAACGTGCAAAAATGTACGAAACAATGGCAGGAATTTGAGGTACAAAATTGGTTTTGTGGTGCATAAAGATTTATTGTACTGAGGTTTTAGTTAGTTTTTGCCATTTCATTCAATGAAAGAAGAACATTTATCTTAAAGGAAATGATGCGTTGTCAGTGTGGTCGTAAAAAATCAAATGACAAAACATTTCATTTCAAAGGATTTTTAGATCGATTTCCTCTTTATTTCTATATGGTTGCTATCACCGAAACAAAGGCGTTCAAAATGGTGAGTCGTGCATAAAGTAAATTAAATGAGCTTGCAACAGCAGCACCACTCATGAGAGTGGTTTTGATTGCTCTTACAGTTGGTTCGGACCATGACAATGTCATAAATTATTATAGCCACGATGTTTGATGGTAAATTACACAGTTGTTCACCGCATACTAGCAGCGGCAACAGCAGTAAAAACGTAAAACTGAACACGCACACTGAAACTGGCAAGCGTGCGCGTCCGTTTATTTCCAACCAAACTAAAAAAAACGAGTAACCAGCAAAACAAAACCGCTTTTGTTTTTCCCATTAATTGTATAGATAGCAACATGGAATATGAACGACAAGCGTTTGGTACATACACATGTAATTGGATAATGCCAACGACTTTCGCTGACGCACAAAGCACACACCAAAAACCATCGCCCATTAAACGCGCGCGCTCTCTCTGCATGTGGGTTTTGCGAATGTACACTGTTTACACACGGAACTTTTGATCGTATGCACGTAAGAAAACGAAGAAATAAAATATAAACACACCGTGGTTCGCATCCGCTCTGTTCACAGCTATGAATGTGTTTATTGTAGAGTCTTTATATCTTTTTGTCGTAAGCACACAACTACATTTGCACACCGAAGAAATAGGCGAATGGTGACCACTTAAGGTATAGAGATTTGGACACACCATTACTATTTGACGTAAATCGTGCTAGTTCACGTTTTTCTATGTTGACTCAAGCCGTTGAGTATTTATAGATTTACCAAATTTGCTTTCCGAAATTCATCTTTAAATTTTTCAGTAGCTCATAATGTAACGTTGCGAATTTGCTCCGTTTATTTTTCTTGTGAAATTATGTTTTTCTTTTGATTCTTCATTTTTGCTCTCACAGCACAGCGTGTTGTGTTTCTAATGGTCATTTTACCTTGTTTTTTTCTCTTGTGTTGATTTCTTTTTTTTTATTTGCCCGAAAAATAAACATTGAATAGCGCGCGACTTACGTTTCTTTTCTAAATGAAGAGAGATCACAGCAAACAAAACATAACAAAACAGAAAAAAATGAATGTATTTTATTGAAGGTACTGGTGTGCGTTTGCTGGGTTCTTCATTTATTTAGGAATGCTAGCATAATCATCCATGCATTACACGAAGCGCAATGGCCTCACGTACAACAGAGTGGAAATAATACAACTGAGAATAGCATCGTTTTAGAAATGTTTCATCGTTGAAACAAGCGATGGCATGGATTTAAGAGAACACAAAATTGAGAGAGAGAGAGAGAAAAAAATGAATGGAAAAAAAATTGCGCCGACAAGAATCATTATGTTTTATGAAACATTGAACAAAGAACCAACACATTCAGACACCAGTTAAAAGCACAAATATTGTTCAATGCTATTGCTGGCGTTGTTGTTTTTGATGGTAAACGGTTAAATATTCTTTATGTTCGTTTGTTTTTTCATTTCAATTTCAAATTAAAATTCAGAAATCAGAATTCTCATTTTTGGAATTGCGCAAAAATTGATTTTTAATTTTCCCAAAGAGATATATCTCTCTCTAGAATGTACTCTCTCTCACTCTCTCTCTCCATTTATCATCTCGTACAAATTGGATTTTGTAGTTGCTGCTGTGTGTCCCAAATGACGTTATTTCTGGTCGGTTCAAAACTAGTAATTTACTCTTTTTCGAGCATAAATGTGAAGTACTTTACGTTTACGATGTGAAAATAGTGAAAAAAAAGAATGCTTACCGCTGTAAAGTGATTGAATTCGACGCGTTCGTGTTGTATTATCTCGTTTCGTATATAATGAAGGTAATCCCAGAGACGAATTGGCTTTTTTCGGTGTTGATGTTAAACGCGAAAAACCAGGCGGACGATAACGTGCACTTTTTACATTATTTGGCAAAAATTGATGGGTATTTTGTGACTTTTGCGATTGTGCATTCGTTGTTGTGGTACGTGGAAGTGAATTTGTACTAGATGATGTTATTGTTGTTTGTTGTAAGCTACGCGGCAACGTTGAACGATTGCCCATAATGTGATGGCGTCGTTCTTCGTCCGATGACGTATCATCGGAATCGGGAAATGTTGGCCGATGACTTGAGCTTCGTTGATTATTTTCGGATCCCCATAATTTTGATGATTCCATATTGTTAACGGCATCGGTTGAACCGGAACCAGCACCGCCAATACTGCCACACGATCGCACACGATCCAATTGTTCTCGGCTCAGACTACATTGATTAAATAACAAATCGCCTGCCGAACGACGCTTTGCTGCTAAAGCGGATGCAGACGATGAATTGTCACGGTCGAGTAGGGTCAATTTTGTTCTTGAATCACCATTCGCTAGTAATGCTGATTCAAAACTACCACGCCATGAAAATCGTTCGTAGTCACTAGCCTCTTTCTCTTCGGCCGCTATATCACTAACACCGCTGCTCGATTGATGATGCAATCGGGTGCCGCTCAATAGCAAATCGTGCGATTTGCTGCGCGGCAAATTCAAATAGCTTTCGGGGCTTTCGATTAAATTGTCATTGGCATGGGTTTGGATGTCCTCGTCGTCTTCGTCGGTGGTTGTGGCCGAGATTTTTTGCTGTAATTTTTTATGGTATCGAGCGCTTGGCTTTGGCGACGAATGACTTGCATGAGATTCACTACTGCTCACTTCATGCATCAACGCAACCAGTCGCGTACCAATGTGTGACATTACTTTTGCAAATATTGGCGGTGAATGATTTGATTCTTTTTGTTGTTTTTCGTTGCTTATTTTTGAGAATGATGAAACTAATTTGTGATAAACTAATGCAGTTTCACGTTTTAAACATTGTTTTTCATCGAATAGACCACCGTCACCGATTACACCCTCCGGATCGCCGACCGAACCTTCGAATTTTTTGATAATTTGTTGACAACTGGCCGAGATTTGTTCTTGTAATTCGGATTTACTGGTCGATGAAGCGGCACCTTCTAAATCCGAACTCGTATAGTCCGATGAATCATACGAATCGGACCAAGTTTCTTCGCTACTTAAATACTCAACGATTTCACGCACTTGATCGTCATTGATTCCGGGAACCGTTTTCATTAGGCGCGTCAATTCATTCTCAAAATAAACGAGTTGCGGTGGTTTGGCCTTTGATCGTGGCTTCGGTACGGGTGTGCCATTTTTGGGCGTATTAGATTCGCTCATCATGGGTGTTGATGATTTCGACGTATTATTTCGTTGTGCATTTGCATTCGATGCGACAAGCGTTTTAACAAATTGTCGCAATTTCGACATCATCAGATTCGTTTCTTCATCCGAACTGTAATTATTAAAACTGTCTTTACGTGCAAGCGATGTCGAAGGCGTTGGAATTTGATTTGCATTCGTTTGTTGATGCTGGTACTGATGTTGTTGTTGTTGTTTTTGTTGCTGTTGTGATACATTCTCTTTTGTCTCCTCTTTGATTTCTTCCAATTCGATTTTCAATTCCGAACCGATTTTATGGGGATCGTCATTTTTCAGCAAATCATCATTGCTACCAATAAAACCACTGTCACGGCTACTTTGTTTTTTCGTTGCTCCATTGGCCACCGATTGTGCCGAATATCCATCGTGTGTCAATGAATTTTTGCCACTCTCCTCATCGGACACCGTACCAATCGATTTCTTATTGTCTTCACTGTCACTGCTCTTCTTTTTTATTTGTTTCTTTCGCTTTAGTGTATCATTTGGATTGGCATGATCTTTTTCCAAATGTATCACAGTCTCATCGCATGTATCCGTTTCGGATGAATCATTTGAATCGTTGGCAAGTGACGGATTTTCATTCGATACAATCGAATCGTGATTGTCATCTTTGGTGGCCAATAAATTGTCCAAAGATGAATTGTGAGATCGATGTGGTGTGCCACGAGCACGAACCAAACGCTTGCGCCGTTGTTCGGGGCTTCTGGCATGGCCTTCACTGTCACTGCCAACACTACCACTACCATCCGAATTCTGATCACGTTCGTTTGCCGAAAAGCCCATGAACGTGGACAAAAAGTATTTTTCCAATCGCGAAGAAGCCATTGCATTTACATCGCCATTTGAACTTTCCGATGCACCAATTGAATCCATTCCTTCGCTGCATAAACTACTTGTTTCGGAAATACTATCGTCGCGTGTATCTATACTTGATAGATGCGACGGTTTGCCATCGCCCAATCCAAAGAAAAAGTATTTTTCCAGTTCTGAAGCGGACATTCGATTTCTCTTTTTATCATTGACCTCAACTTCACTCTCTTCGCAACTCTCTTCGACAATCGTGTGCAATGTAAAATCAATTGATGTTCGATTGTAACCGCGAAGCTCTTCTTCGCGATCGACGGACGAACACATTGCCAAATCTTCGGCATATTCGGTGTCTGAATCGGTGGCTGTTGCTGCGGCAAAATCATCTTCTTCGTCACCACTTCCAATCCACGAATCATCATCGGCCAAACCATCTTCCAAGCACACAACGGCCGATAATGTATTTTTTCCCGTTACAACTGTCACATCATCGTTATTTTTCGCATTATTTTCATCACTACGACTATTGATGTTTGCACTTGTATTTGCCATTTGATTAGCACTGTAATTTCTCGGTTTTAACATTTCACTATCAAACACAGAACTTGTAAATGAATCATTTTCAAAATTTGGCAAATGTTCACTGTAATAAAAATCATTCGAATGATTTGTAACAATGGGTCGTCGTTTGATGGTTGGCGTGGAAGTGGTTAACGAATCTTCTTCAAGCGACCGAGTAAAATAGCCAGCCAATGAATTTGGTTCGTATTCATCGTCCGACAATCGATTTGTATGCTGCACAATAATCGAATCAGACGAATCGGAATCGGATACAATGTGCGTTGTATCGGTTGGGACAATGTTTACATTTGATGTTGCCAATGGCGATCGAATATCTTGTGTGATCATCACTAAACTTGTATATTTTGCTGGTGTTATCGTTTCACTTGTATACCCATCCGTACTGTTCAAACGTTCATTTTCAACTGTCGATCGTGTTATATTGTCTTCGGTGTGTGTATTATGATCTACCTGTGTATTTACGTCGTCGCCATCAAAGTAATCGTAACATTCATATGTTTGCACACCTGGTATATCTTCATTGGTATTGGTTACGCTATGCGGCACCGGCGGTGGCGGTGACAGTGGTGGTAGTGGTGGCGGCAACGTTGAGGGGAAATGGAACGCATGATCACCGTACGCTTCAGACAAATCAAATAGTTTTGTTTCGTCGCTTAAGTCAATTGTGTCTGCGCTAATGATTTTGTATTCAATGCACTCAACTCTTTCTTCAGCATGTTTACTGAATTCATTACAACTGGCCATTGGTTTGGGTTCTGCATGTGTTTGTGCATCGAGTGTTAATGTGTGTTGGTAGTCGAATGCACTTTCTAATGAATTGGGCGTTTTGAATGACGTTTCGTTGGTGTTGCGATCAACGTTACCGCTACCGCTGCCGTTGTTTAACACACACAAACCGGTTGTTGTATTGTCGTCAATATCGACTTTCGCTTCGTTGTCTGCCGACAGTATACACCATGACGACGGTTGACTTTTTTCCATAATTTGGAATGTTTTTTTGTTGTCATTGTCGTCATTCTCATGCATCAATACCGTTTGTTTTGCCAGTTCATTTTCGTCTGAAATAGATACCACAATGGGTTTTAATTTGAGCACATTTTTCTTGGGCGATTTATTTGAATATTTTACTTTACCTGACATTCTTTTATCGTGCATGGCATCGTCGCAATGCTGCTGCAACTGGAGCTCGTTTATAGTCTCAGCATTTTGAATTATTGCCTCGGCATTTGTATGCACTAGCATTTCTTGTTCGCTTTTCATATCGTCCACGGCAGTTGTATCGTTGCTTAAAATGTCATCGACTCCATGAATGCTATGCACTGGTTGCTCACAAACAAAACCATTCATGGAAACTGGATCAGTTTCTAAAGTTTTTATGGTTGCCATAGCATTTTTCACATCCGATTCATTTTGTGTTTGTGATCTATCATTTTGGGTGTCGACAGACATTGAATGCTGCTGCTGCTGCTGTTGCTTCTGTTGTTCTTCCAATTTTTCGAAACAACTCATGGCACTAACATTCGATTCAATTTCTTTACATTCATTGATTTCACTATTCATTTGTTGTGATAACAATTGATCGAAAGGCTCATGTTTATCATTCAATTTTTGTTCAATGGTCGCGCATAAATCATGAACCATTTGTTTGGCTTGACTTCGCAATGCATCCGTAATTCGTTCACTATTTAAATTCATATTCGCACGTCGGTTCGTGTAGTTTTTGCTGTCGTGGCTGTTGATATTGTCGGCTGCTGCTGCTGTTGCAGCCGCAGTTGATTGATTATGAAGGTCAACTTGTTCATTTCGTTGCATGATTGCATTTTCTTTGTGCTTTGTGTCTGTTTCACATGATTTCTCATCGATTGGCATTCTTTCAATCACCGTTTGTTCGTTCTCATCTTCGGAGCTTTGTTCGTCGTTTATTTCGTTACTGTCGCCGTTGCTGTCGTTTACATTGTTACATTTCCCTTTTGTATCGTTACCCAAAAAAACAGGTTCATTATTATTTTGTTGTTCGCACGTCGGCACGGTGGTGTTGGTGCCGTTGCTGCCGTTGCTTCCGTTATTATCACCGTCATCGTCATCGATCCGCTTGATAGAACACAGTATAATTTCATCGTTTTGATCGATGTCATCGTAACTTTCGGTCGTTGTATCATCGATATAATTAACCGTTTCACTGCCATTCTCTGGCAATGGCTTTATGTAGTTCAATACAATTTTTTCAGTGTCGGTGTCATTATCACTTGAATCATCTGTACTATTGACGTTCGTACTTTGTGAATCGCTATCGGATGATCCAGTTTTTTTATTCACAACAAATACTTTGTAAAAACCTTTTGATTTGGGTCGACGATCGGCCAGCGAACTGTGCTTTTTAAAATTGTTGTCATCGCTGTCGGATGCTTCGGGCGCTGACGAACAACTCGGACGATCACGAGTCGAATTCGATAGCAAATCTTCACAATCACTTGATCCACTTACCGAAATTGAGCTTTGTTTCTCTTTTTCTTTCACCGTTTTTGCATTCAATACATCGTAATTTCGTTTGATTGATTTACTTCGTGATGTTGAATGATTGTTTTGTTTATCATCGTCGCTGGCATCCGACGATGAAGAATCACAAGACGATGATGATGACGACGACGATGGCGATGTAAACATTTCGGAACGCAAATAGCCAGCCATATCACTTGCACCTGTACCACTATCGTCGGGTATAACTGAATCGCTTGTTTTTCTATTCATTGCACTGCATTTGGATAAATCACGATATTTATTGTTCGCTTTGATTGGCGATATTGCATTTGAATGGTTTGAATTGGATTTTGTTTTTGAAAAATCACTAATTAAATTAAATCCACTTAACGATTCGTTGACAACAACGGCGGCGACGGCGGTGACGGCGGCACTTTTCTCTTGATCTACACTGACCTTTGATCGATTGTTCGGCAAATTGAGGTTTGATTTTCGTTGTAGTTCGTCACATTTCACAATTCCATGCGATAAATCACTTAATTCATCTAAATGATCATTGAAAATGACACAATTTAACGGATTTGCATCGGTCACATCACACATTTTATTCGTAGCCAATTCATTTTTGAGCGTCGCTACAAAATGTCGGCTCTTTATTTCACTGTTCAACTTTTTCTCTGTATCGTTTATAGTGCGTACATTTATGGTGGATATGCATTGATCGACAGTTGGTCCGGTACTGAGACTGTTCATTTGTTTTGAGCGATCGTTATGCGTTGTTATGCATGTGTTGATGTTGCCGTTGTTCGTGTGCTTATTGCAATCGTTAATGTTGCCACAACTAGATTGGCCGCTAGTTGTAAGTGTTGTTTCTTCTTGTTTTGTGTCATTTTCTTGGTTACGCGACGATGCGTCTGCATATGCAATACTACTGTTGCTATTGCTTTTACTGCAGCCACTGCTGCTGCCACCGCCGCTGTTGCTGCATTGGCCAACACTATTTGGCAATGTTGCGTGTGTTGGTGTTGTATTGGTTTCCACTTGTGTAGCATAATTCTTCAATAGTTCGCTGGCAATCGTCTTATGCGATTCGATGTGATTTCGTTGGTGTGGTTGATGGGCAAGCAATGGGGCGGCTGTATTCCATAGTTGAAATAATTCAGCGGCTTGTTTCTTTTGTAATGCTCGTACATCTGAGCTATTTGCATCGTCTCCAATAACGAAAATTGGCACTGGCACCGGAATCGCTACGTATTGAGGTTGATGACCACAATCGCATCGAGATCCTGAACATGATGTATTACTTTTGTTCACCGAATGTCGAATTGTTCGTTTGAATCGTGATAATTTTCGACGAATATCGACAAAACCATCACTACTCGTTGGCGAAGAGCTATGTGCCAAGAATTCTTCGTCGGTTGTATGGATATCGGCGTGAATATTCATGCGACGCCTTTGCAAATTTGGTGAAACGAATGGCGATTGTATTGCACAATCACGGAATATTGTTTTTGTGGTTGCTGTTGTGTTCGGCTCAAAGTAATCCCAATCACAATCATCCAATGAAATACTGTGCCGATTTGTTGATGAGCATGTTGAACTGCTGTCCTCAACATCGTCCAAACTCGATGAATCCGAACTGATAAACACCAATTTATAATCATCACTTTCCGGGCAAATCATTTTTAATGTCGCGCTACCCTCATAATCTGATACATCGTCCTGCATCAAAGACACATTCCGTACACGTTCGCCTGATTATTTCGATGATTTTTTTGTTGTTGCCAATATTGAAACAATAGCCAATGCCATGACGGTGTTTAAATACATAAAATAAAACGGGAAAAAAAGAAAGAAAACAAAACAAAACAAAATAAATTATAAAAGAACAAATAACTGAATAAATCAAATCAAATCAAATAATGTAATAAATTAAATCAACATAAAATGACTTATGAGCAAAAGCAAACTCGAGAACAAACGAAAACAAAACAAAAATTACTGCGCAGAAAAATGAAAACGCATTGCGAAGCAATAGAAGAAGAAAATAACCAAACTCAGTGAACAGAAAATGAATTATAAGTCAAGTGTAGTGTGAGAGAGCGCGCGAGTAAAGAAAAAAAGGTGTCTGGCATCAAGTGTTCGGCTTGCAAATAAAGTGGGAGATCGGTGTGACAAATAAAGTAAGACATGCACACATACAATCTCCGCGTCTGGCTGTGAACGTACAAGTAATAATAATTCGATAAAATAAATTGTTTGGCCAGTCAAGAGTCAAAGAGGCGTGCAAGAGAAAATGAGTCTGTCGCACAGAGTGAGAGTTATTTATGTGCTATTGTGTGAATTTTATACTTTGTAAAAAAAGAAAACAATCATATCAAATCGATTGGTTTTCTCACATTGTAATTACCAATCAAATGCGCAACAGTTTGTCAATTTGATGCTTATGCTGAGAAAGTATCGACTGACTTTCGAAGTAATTTGACAATTTTTTTCGAATAACTCATTAATTTTTCAAATAAAACATCGACTAATGAGATGTTAATTCAAAAATAAAGAATGAACGCAACTATGTTACTCTGGGTGAATGTGACGATACGTACAAATAATAAAGCTGTTTCCATTTGCTGTCATAATTAAACGAATTAAACTTGAATTTTCCTTCAAATGACCCCAGCTCAAATAATGCCGTTCATCCGCTCGACCACATATTAGATATTTTTCCGTTCTAAATACACAACTTTTTTTTTTCTCCGGTGTAACCATATTGCTGTATTTAATCGGCTTACACAGTTTAAGGCAATCAATAAACTTAATCTTTCATTAATTATGCTTGAACCGAACAATTCAGCATCGATGACACACATTGGTCAATTAATCGATTCGAGAGCATCGATGTTGCGTTGAAAATTTATCCAATTTATTAATGTATGTTCTGTGATGTGTGCTATATGGTATTGTTGTTGATGTAAATATTGGAGACCCTTTTCGTACAGATTAAACCCATAACTTGATTCGACGATGTTGAATAAAGTTTGTAATGTAAGCACACATTGTCTATGTTCTTTATCTAATTTTCAGGGCAAACAAATAAGTAACAAAATGTGTTCTGTCGGCTCGATACCCCTGGAGAAAATTGGCTTGATGGACTTTTTGTAAAAGTCGCAATTGTTATTATAAATTCATGCTTTGGCAAACAATTTGTTGGAATTGTTATGTACTTTTCTTCATTTCCACCACACTTTTTGTCTATGGTTATTAAAAACACACCAATTCCATGCGAATTTGCTGTCGTTGCGGTGTCCAGAGTTGGACGTAAAAGGTTGAACAAACAACGTTGTATTTAAACTAATTAAATGATAATAATCAAGGGACTTGTGTTTAGCATCTCGGCTCAGTTGTGTCTTCGGTTGGCATGCAAAAGGCTCACACACACATTGAGGTATAAATAGGTGGGTTATTCGAGTATCTGCTCTTCAAAGAGTGTAATTTCCTGGAAATTCTTCAATTAAATGCAATTTTATAATTTGATATTAAATGTGGTAATGAAAGCCTTTCATTGAAAGGATACACATGACAAACGATGCAAATGTGTGCTAAAAGTAAATATTATGATTGTCACGGTTTGCTGATTAAAATGACGATAGAAAATGTTGTCATCGTGCAATTAAAGAACTTGAGATCTGATGCACACACACGCGCGCAGTTTTTGCTGATTTGACCAAGTACACTGTCCCACTCGGCCAGTTGAATGCGAATGCAAAAAAATGTCGCACAAAGATAGAATCGTTTCTCATGCACAAAGATAGACGGCTCCACCCTATTAAAGTTCACCTTAATGGTAAATAATGTTAGCCGTTCTGAATTGGCACATTTTCATCTTTATGTGTGATGCGACGATGACCGGGCGATTTCATGAAATTATCGTTCAAATGCGACTGGATTGGGTTGCCCGTTGTCGACAGTCATTGGCAGAGATAGAAAATTAGATGGGATTTTTATTATTGTACAGGCTTAATTATTATGGAGAATCTCCATTCCTACGCCTATTATCATTTAAATGCACTGTAATCACGTTTCTATTTTCTGTGTGCGGAAACCTTATTTTTTCTCTCGCTCACTCCTGCTGCACACACTTCACGCTCTTACTCTTGCAAATGTATCAATAAAGCAAATCAATAGTCACGACTCATGTTGAAAACGATGATTTTTTTTTTTGCTTCTTCCATTTGATTCATACATAATTGTTGGTACTCATGTTTTATGATTGCTGTGTGTGCCATGAATAAAACATTCGCAATTGAGAATCATTGCTCTCTGTCTAGTGTCAGTAATTCAAGAAGAAAAAATGAGTTTCAGCTATGTTTCTATTTCTTGTTTTGAAAAAAAAAGAGTTTAATGATTATGTGCTCAACAAGAGGGAGAGAGAGAGAAAATAGCCAAAACTAGTTTAATCGCATGAATGGAATAAGAGTAAGTGAGAGAGAAGGATAATAGGCGAATCGGATTTAATGGCGAGAATGTGTCAATGAGAGAAAACTAGTCTAATCAAAATCATTCGATTCGTATATTGTCGTCAACGGCACGTTTTGATTCAAACGAAAAACCAAATTCAATTCAAACAATGACCAACACTTCAATTAGACGGGGAAAATAACGTTACCGCAAAACACAAAACCAAATTGAAACTCTTTGAAAATCGGCTGTATTGAATATTGCGATAGTCTTTAATTTAGATGATTTTCGTTTACAGTTGTCAAACAATTATTTTCAACGCTCGTAAATCGATCGAACAAAGGCATTTGTGTCTTGGGCTTGAAAACCGATTTTCGTTTACATTCGAGAGACAAAAATATACAACAACTGCTGATTTTTTTTTTTCTCCATTTGACACACTCAATTTTATAATATGACGCACATAAATATTTCACTTACAATAAAAAAGTAAACACAAGCTGACATGAACGTAGGTCGATGGGCTTATTTTTGTTGTTATATTTACTGATTGCTACACTATTTTCAATCGTCAATAATAAACCTAAACGTTTGTTTTAAGCACAGAGCAAAAAAATGACTATGAATTGGAACGTACGCCCGCATTTCAGCATTGCGTTGGCACTAAATCGATTTTTAAACTATGTGAAATGCAACATAAAATCCCTAAACGAGATTCAATTCTCTCTCTCACTCTGTACAGCTCGATTAACTATTCAATGCAATTGAAATGCGTCGGAATTTCATTTGATGACTTCAGCGCGACCACTCTCACACTATCCACACAATGTTCCATGCGGTAGTTTGAATAAGCCAAATGGACGAAAAAACAAACACAAACCAAATAACATGAATTGTTTTATCAAACGAAACATTCCGAAACCATATTTTCGCGCAACACAATTTTACACTTGGAAATTGTATTTCCAGTGAGCATTTATCGCTTCGCATAGTTTACAAAAAAAAAAAAAACGATGCAAAACGAAAAGTGATCAAAAACTATTCAATTGATTGCTTCAACCTATTAACACTTTTGAATTTCTGTTACATATATAGTTATTATGTCGAGTGTTCATGACATTTTGTGTAAATGCAATTAAGTGTTCATAATTTACTCGCAATTTAATTCGACACAACAATAGTCTTATTCATTGCCTGAGTTTTGAAATGATTTCGAAATATTTTGTGAATTCAACGTTTGATACGGCATTGAAGTCAATTAATTCGAAAAATTTGTATGAGAGCAATTTATGTGCACCATTGAAATGGTCATTTATCTATTTCCCGGTTAGGCTAAGGCCAAATGTTTAAGTTGGCAATTCCTCATATTTTTCGTATCGATCACAATAGCAAATATCTCCGATTTCCATTATTTTCCTCTTTTTTTTGTTAGTTGTCGTTTGCAATTTGTAAAAAACCAATATTAAAGCACTTCACCAATAAACAAAAATAAATGAAATATGCATATATCGTTACCGCTAAGAGTTTTAGCTGAATTCTAAATGAAATGTTTTTTATAATCGAATGTCACTAACTGTAGTTTCATAGATCCGTTAAATGTCGATGAAAATGAAAAATTATTTTGTTGTGTCCTGGTGCGTGTACGTTATTTCAATGAAAGTATCTGTTGAATTTTGCATGAAAATCACACTTGAATCGGAACGACTACAAAACACAATTTGTGCGCTGGAATTGTTTTAGCAGCAGCTTAGCAGCCAAACAAACGCGAACAACACTAGAACGAACTTTACGCTATGCTGCTATAGCACACACAACGAAGAAACATAGAGAGCAAATCGAAAAGTTATATATTTTTTTGGCGTCGTACGCGCCTGAAGTGCACACAAAAGCCAATTTTACACTCACTCAAACACAAAGACTAGAGCGAGAGCATACCGTCAATAATAGTTTTCTAATAATGGATCTCTGTTTCGCGTCACTTTGCCTCTCTATCAAAGTATTGGGCCCAACAAACACTTTTTGACAATAATCGCAGAATATATGGATGAGTGGCTGTCTGCATGTGTGTATGTGTGTGTCTTTTGCTTCGAGTCTTTGTTATATCGGTGCTCGTTCACGTTTCAAGTGTTAAGCTGCTATTTATCCATAGCTACTTTGTCGTACTCGAATCTCAATTCTACGCTCAGTTTGGCTGTATATCCAAAGCCAAAAACACTCTGACTGATGATAAAGAATTTAATACACACACACACACGACTGAACAATACATTTCAATATATATTTCATTCGCTCTTTCATGGTCTTGATTTGCAACGTGATGAGGCACTCGACAAAGCACAGACACACAAAATATTATTAAGTGTATGGATTGAAGTCACGTACTTTGCCTAACAAAATGAACAAAATGTGCACACATTGTGTACCAACGAAAAACGAACAAGCGTCCAAAGCACAGCAACGTCGAAAGAGAAAGAACGAAAGAAAGAGAGAGAGAGAGAGAGAGAGAGAGAGAGAGAACAAACAAAAACAGCCAAGAGGCTGATGTACAACTATAATGTAATCGCTAACGCAAACAGACAAAAATGGCAAATGTTCAACTCCGGCACATAAACATCTAATGGAATAATATTCATTACACAAAGTACACCCAAGATATTTATTGTGGTTTTGTCTCTTAGTTTGTATGTTGTTTTTCGATTTGTTTACTTCTTCGATGCGATTAGTATGTGTAGTATGGCTTCATGGTGTCTCTCTTTTGTATTTTATAGTTCTTGCCGCTTCTTTCCATATCAAAAATGGACAACATATAGAAAACAAAAAGCATAGCATAAAAGTAGCTAAAGAGTGCCTCTTTGAAGGTGACCATACGAGAAATGGCTGGAAAAATAATATGTTTTGCGTTTGCTATGCGCAAAGATTAAAAGTGAAATACCATACGTTCAACGTTTCTATGAATACAAAATATTTGCCCAGTGATTCGCTTTGCGTTCTAAGATTGTATTGATTCCAAAATGCTTTTTGAAATGCGGGAATCATGCTTTTGAATACAAAACAGTTTTAGATTACTTTGATTAATGATGAACTTCAGAATCTTTTGTTTTTATCGAAACTTTGTAGTTTGGATAAAGAGAAGCTAGAACAGCACATCAATTTGATTATTATTTTGGAAGAAAAAGCAGCACAATGAAAACTTATTTTTCTTTGAAGTGTATAGCACCAAAATATTCATCTGGCTTGTTGTTGTTTTTTGTTTTTGCATCAAAAGATGTGTTCAAATGCAAACATTGTTCGGGTGATGGTAAAAGATCTGACATTTTCTGTCATTTCAGACAAACACAGATTAGATGCGCTGTTGGTGATAGTGACGTTGTTATACAATGTAAAAAGTGTAGCCAGTTTTTTGGGTGCTATGTGTTCGACTATGTGTTTATGAAAATGACATAACACTCATGCCATGTTACTTCAAAATGTGCCACAAATAACCGTAGAAACTAAAATAAAATCGACTACAATGATGACGCTGTTAATTTGTCGTTATCGTCGACATTTATCTAATTACATAATAAACACTGAAATACCAGCAATCAAAGTACAAAATCTCTGTAGCATCGAATTTCACGTTCCTCATTCAGCAACGCGAACCATAGACAGCGAAAGTTTATCTTATCGTGTACGTTATACTTCGTCAAACCGAATAATTCAGCTAAATCACACACTTGTTATCAAACAGTTTACCGCTTTATTCTTCGACTCAAATGTAATAGGCCAACGGCATACACGTACTATCATCATATGCGCAACAAGCTCCATTCCTTTTCAAAAACACACAAACACCGAACGTTCTTTTGCAAATGTCTATTTAAAATCCTTATAAATTGCACAACAATCACGATGCCTGCAGAGGTGAAATCATAAATATGCGGCATATACATTGTGGTATACAAAATATGCAGATAAAGTGGTGAAAGAAACAATTAAAATGACGAATCATTGTCGAATGAATTCCGAACGAAACTTAAATTAAAAGCACTCTTCTGAAATACACTTGTTTCGATTAATTCAAATTGATGATTCTCTCCTTGGTGTGACTTAAACAATCACAATGTTTAAGGGATTTTGAAGATAGGATGTGCCAAATTTCAACAACTCATTGCGTCGACAAGCTTTCAAAAGCTTATAAGTCTTATGTTACAATAAGACTTTATATTTCAAACCATATAATTCTTTGTTTTTATTTCATTTTCCCTTCCGTCGTTCGATTGCATTGCTTACGATTTGCTCATCCAACATGAATAGTTGAAGGACTAATAAGAAAGAGCTTACCTTCTTCGTTGGCTTTTTTAGCTGCTTGGCGTCGTTGTAGCACAACTTTCTTGAATATAACCGCAGCTGCTTCAACGGCACTTTGAATTTCTGCTTCGCCCAATGTAGTTTTATGCTGCAAAAATACACCACAAATTGCATTAAAAAGTGACAAAAAAAGGCAAAAAAAATATACAAAACGGAACCGAATAGAGAATTCAATAGAACAGAGAGACTCAACAAGTTTGACTTTGAGTTTCTCATGAACACATTCCTCGAAAACAATGGCGGGATAAATGTCGACCGGAAAATGTTCAGAGACGAAAGCCAGAACGAAGGTGTTTGCAATGAAAGGGTGAAAGAGAAATCAATTGGTATCATAGCAGATGTTCGAGCACAAGGCTTAGGTTTATGTTATATGTGCGGGTGAATATGTATAGAATGAACTCCCTTTCTCCTTCTCGTACTTTCGCATAATATAGACAACTTTGTTGATCTCTTCGTGTTTTTGCGAAAAATTCGAATCAGACAAATGAAAAAAGCAGAAAAAAGTAATCTCGAGATGGAAAAAACGATATATACTATTATCATTTAAATGAGCGAATAAAAGAAAAAAGGTGTCAATAAAACGGTGAACTTTGTTGTCGCAATTGTCATTTATGTTCATTTTCTTTGTTGATTTGTTTTATTTTTATATTTATTACGTCGTACCTCGGTCGGTTCGCTGGTCGTTTGTTCCGTTTCAACTTTTTCGTTTACTGCCGAATGCCTTGCGCCATTACTTGCCTCGATTTTATTGTGATCGACGCTCATATTGCTATGGTCCTCTGATTGATTTGCTGTTGTCATACCGGACGACGATGAGGACGACATTGCTGTTGCGGCTGTTACTGAATTTGCTGGTGATTTTCGAATCGGTGGTGTGGGTAACATGATTTTACTATCACTTCGATCCGAACGTTCAATTCGATCCATTCGCTCGATTCGTTCCATGCTTGACGTACCATTGCTATCATCATCCATTTCTGGCCGATACAAAGCACCGCTATCGAAACTTTTCGAATCACGTTTTTGCATATGCAAATGGTTCCGGTTACCTGCGAGGAAAAAAATACACATATACACACATTAATTAAATCGATAAGAATAACTGTTGCGAACAGCGGAAAGTAATGAAAATTGACGTGAACATAACGAATTCAATTGACACTACAAATACCTAAAGCTAGCGAAATATTTCAGTGGTGTAATATTCGCAGTCCACAGAGGCACCGAAACACACATATCAACGCAAGTAATAGTTCACAAATAAAACTCATATATCAGCTGGAATTTGAATTCGAAATGTAGAAAATATGCGCGCACAATTCCCATCGTGAATGTTTTTTTGTTGCACACGGAGAATCATATAACTGGGCTGCACTCGCGCACACACGTAATCGAGAAAATCGACAGTGAAAAATATAGGACATATGATCCTTGTGCTGAAGCTATTTTTAGCATCTAAATGAGATGTTGGAAATACGTTCGCGTCACTATGTGAACTAAAAATGTGCTACTGAGCATTTTGTAATTATTGTTTGGCCATAACATTGAGAACTTGTCGTCATCCTGCCTCTTTCTATGCAACTTTTCCATGAATATGGCTCATTTTTTTACGTTACAATATCCTCCAAGCATAAAATAGTAACGAAACGCAGTTCGTAATATCGTGAGAATTTGTCTCATTTTGTGTCAATGTGTTGCGTTGCCACGGGTTCTCTCTTTTATGCACTAGAAATGCTTTGCTTCGTATGGAATTTCCATTTGAAATTAAAGTACAATACACATAGAGCACCAATTATAACGCCTTGAATACGAGCACTCAATACTATATAGACTCGTTAACATTGAAATTGTACTTTGAAAGAGCAGAAAAAGAAAGACAAAGGCGCTTGGAAGAGAGCAACACAGTTTCCATACACACAACTGCAGTGTGTGATACATTTTTGCAGTGAAATTGTACGCTTTTTCGTGCGGCGGAGGCAACAGCAGCATCACTTTTGAATTTTCATGGTGAAAATTCTGTGTTGTGACCGAATTCAGTTTCATTTGTAATCGACTGCAAAAGCAATACATGTGTGTGTGTGATTCTTTTCATTTTGTTTGTTAAATATGTGCATTTGCACAAAAATGGTATGCATGAATAGCTTTCTATAGAAGAGCGGTTGTCCTGTCAACTGCAATATACTCATTATACGAATCCATTTTCAGAAGAACCATTGTCTTTTTTTGCCAACAGTCAAATGTCTGTCAGGCTCAAGGTTTCCGTTTCCGAATGAAAAATGTATTAATTTAAAATCGGTTATTTTGAGCACAGTTTCCTATTGGAAAAGCCACCGAAAAAAAAACTACCGAATCAATAATTCAGGATTCGACATGAGCTTAAAATTTGTGAATATTGAAACAGATCTCAATCAGGCGAAATGTACAATAATAAACGTCTATTCAATATATCAAATGAAAAGCCCGTTACTGTAAATGTACAAAATTAGTGGAGTGCAAATCGGTTTTACCTGGCGGTGATGTATCCGGAATATCGATAGATTTGTAATTTTTGCGGCGAGGTGAGGGTATTTTTGATGGTTTCTTCGATCGTTCCATGACGTCAATGAACTGCTTTGGACTGGGTATTTTTGGACTCTGCAATTATACAATCAGTCACACAAGCACACACACAAACACACAAGATATGTAATGAATTAATCATTTGTAAACGATAAAAAAAAATATTTGCTAAAAAGTAAGATTTCTACATAGCTAACATACGATGTGAGTATAGTATGGTGCTTGCTACCTGTGAATGTGATTCTTTTTCTGGGTGGGATAGTGTTCGTCTAGTTACCGCTTGTTTTGCTGTTCTTGTTGGTGTATCTTCCGATATCGATCGCATTGCTTCGGGCTTGCGACGATGTTCGTCCGGTTCATTTGTTGAGATCATTACCTCATTTTCGGTAAATTCACGTGAACGTCGACGATGTGAACGCTCTTTTCGTCCGTACCACGAACTCTCTTCGGGTGAACTATACTGTGTATCAACCATGTAATTGTCGACATTCGGCCGACACATTGTCGACATTGGATGTACCATTTCGTCATCGTCGTATTGCAATTTTGGATCGCTTGAACTGTAGTAATTTGGTGGATATTGTTTCTGGCCATCGAATGTATCATCTTCGTCAGCCTCGCGAAATGCATTATCACTATTGTACATACCATCGTTGTATGCACTCATTTGATTCATATCATCGTATTCGGGTAAAATTTGCTTAGCCTCGACAAATGTTCGCTTATTTGGTGACCGTTGCTCATTTATTCGCATATCTTCTTTCACATTGTCTTGACGCACCAAACGGCTGAAAAAAAAGAAGATACCATTTATGAATTAAAATCCAATCAATTTTCAAGTGAGTGAAAGATAAATTTAAGCCTACCTTGGCGATCGAGATCGATTTCGCGGAATTTCCGGAAGTAATCGCCGTCCTTCGGTTGGTGGAAATGGTCGATTTGCGCTATACTCTTCGTTGCTGTGACTTCGTACTTTCATCATTTTCACTTGTTGCTCGCGCGGTATACAACTCACACTGCCCGTACTCGAATATGGATCTTCAGTTGCGGCGGTCGGTACATTTTGTTGCGACAAAAATTGTCGTGGATTTTGTTTTGCTTGAGGAAATAAAAAGCTTTGCTTTAAACGCGGCGAAATCGGAAGAAATTTCGTTTGTTGCGGAACATTTAGTGAATTATCAGCCGGATTGCATGGTAATGTACTTTGTCGTATCATTTCTGGTGAGCGTTTTTTATACTGTGGCGATAGTTGACGTTTTGGTGGTGATGTTGGCAACAATTTCATATGCTGATCAGGATTTGGAAGTGTATTCTGACGTACGACACCAAGATGACGTTGTTTTAGAAAGTCTGGTTCGCTGCCATGTTCAGGTGATCGATTGTAGAGGCGATTTGGCGATGTGGGCAATATTTTCGGCCGATGTGTATTAGCAACAAATTGCTGTTGTTCATTTGATGTGTTTGATGGAAATGTTGATTGTCTTACAAATGGTGGCGGATAATGAAGCTGTTGCTCCGAATCAGACTTTTCAGGTGATCGACTGTAATTTCGATTTGGTGACGTTGTCAAATAGTACTGATTCTGTTGCTGCTGCTGTTGTTGCTGTTGTTGTTGCGGCTGCTGCTGCTGCTGATAAAGATGGTCGCTTGGTCGACTTGGCAACGTTGATTGTCGTCGAATTGGATAACGAATTTGCCTCAAATCCGGATTTGATGCGTCCATTGTTTCCTCGGTGTCCGTATTGTATGGACTGTATTGAGGGCTGATTTGTTGATTTGGCGATACCGGTGGCATTAAATTGATATTATTTTGATATTGATATTGATCCGGATGTGGTAAATTGCTGGGCAATGTCGATTGACGAAGCACACGACGTTGTGGTGACGTACGCTCATAGTATTCATTATTTTGATAGTCCATGTTCGGATATTGTAAATGATTTACGATATGATTCGTTCGATTGTTCGTCGTGTAATTGTATTCGTTTGAATCACATGAATTTACTGGAGCTGAGATAAATGCTCGTTGCGATTCACCAACACCTCCATTTCGATTCACGTTCGATTGATTATTGTACACTTGATGCGAATCTATATGTTATTAGTTTTCGATAACACGACAAAAAAACGAACGGTTTAATTAATATTAATGAAATTTTATCTTTTATTCAATGGAATTCTAGTAATCTTTTATCATTAATGATAAATATCTACTTGATCGAACACAAACTCACTTGAAATTGTCCAAGAGCGTCTAATGCTTTTCCGAATTATTTCCGATGCAGATAAATACTCATTTGAGTGTGATTCAGTGCGTTGGACTTCCCGTGATAAATCAGATATCCATTCACCGCTCGTTGCCTTCAATTCCCTATACAAAAAGAAAAAAAAACGTGAAAATGTTGACACATACTCCATCACATGATAATAGTCTCCCAATCCTTTTTTCCAAGAATTTTAATGATCATCGAGTCGGAATCAAAGGAGAACAAATCTAATAAAATTCAGCCCACATTTGTTTGATTTATAAATAGGCTTTTTATCGGTTGTTTTATAAGTTGTGAAAATGTACACGACAAACTGTGCGACATTTGTCAGAGAATTGTTGTAGGCGAGAGCATTAAATTGTGATAATGAGCATATGAAGTACTTTTTGCTTGTAGGTTGGACCAAACTTTATTCCATCGTATTTGTGTTGCATTGTTCATAGCAATCCAAGATAAAAAAAGCTTTTTTTATAGACGCAACATGTGGAAAATTTTATGATGCTTTTTTTTGGTCATCATAAAATATTACAATGTCTCTGAATTTTAAAAGTGAAATATATCTAGAATTTAAAGAGAAATGTTATTATTTGGCATTTCCGTTGCTACCGCTCGAACATCGAATTCTTGGAAGGTTATTTTTGTTGTTCATCATAATTCAGGGTGCATGGTATACATACACATCAACATTACGATCCACTAAAAATATGCTTTAATGCATTCGCTTTGAAATATTAGCTGCTTTTCCCATGAAGCTCTTTAGAGACCCTTTTTTAGATACTTGATTTCGCTTACATGCGCTCGGTGTGTATGCATATGTGTATCATAAACAAATAACAATACATTTAATTCACTAGTTTTATGACTGGAATCATGTTACATCGAATGGTTCCATTTTGAGCGCATAAAAATGTCGTTAGATTTTTCACGATGAACCGGATCAGTTGTTTTGAAGTGAATTTCTTGGAAATTTCAATTTACAAACGTATAAAATGAATAATAAAATGAAGAAAATTCATATTTTATGCATCTATATGTTGAGGCGATGCGGCAGCTTTTTTTCGTGCACTTTGTTTTGATATAAATTCAGTCTGAATGAGTACGATAAAGAAATTGACGAATAAAAGAATGTAGAACGAAGATGCACAAGGAAAATGTTTTGAAGTGCAGATCTCTTTTGTGAGTCAATCAAAAATTCGTAGCATGGTTTCTATTTATGGTATAAATAGCATTGAAAATGTCTTCATGTCGGAAATGCAAATATACTTGCAATTTTTTTTTGTTACCGAGTAAATGACTGTGAGTTGATAAAAACGACATCTGTCAAAAGTGAATTGTAAACAAGAGAGTTTCATTTCCCACAAGAAGTCAGAGAATTGAATTCAAATGAAATGCAAACATATGAAATGGACATTTTTCCATTTTAATGTGAACACAACACAAAGAAGGAGAAACCTTAAACATGGCGAATATGAGATGGAAGTTGGCACCTTAAAACTACCGTCATCCAAATAGTATAACTCACATTGAACTAGTCGTTTCGTAAAAAGACCACACATCGAAAGGATGATTGTGTCAAGCAATTGCCTTTACTGCGTCATGTGCAGTAATAAAATGAAGTTTAGGCTCAAGCCAAATATTAAATTCATTTGCGTCATTTTGACGTATATATGACGAGCCAATGCCACAATATCAAAAAAAAAAAGATTGATTATCTTGCTCTGGACAAAGATTTACCAAAACAAGTGCTCCATTTTTATGTACCGTACAGTCTCATTGATGCGAAAGCCTTTTAGTTGGCATCGATCTGCTAACTTTACTTCAATACATGACTGTGGATAATGTGGCATTTCTGGGAATTTCTGCAATAAACTTGCTGCCATCGTCATGCTAACCGTTGGATATTTAAAGAAACTGCCAGCATTACCGGTGATTTTTGGATTTGGAAATTTACTACGGCGCATTTTACAAACAGTTTCAAATACGTAGGTTGCTCCATAATTTTTTTTAAAATGGTACTTATAGTGTTGCCCGATGTAAACCATTGTCATATTCGTAAAGTTTGATGTTTTGGTATGTATTCGTGCCCTGAACCTTTTGTCGTACGAACGCTATTTGTATTGTTTACAGTGACTGGTAAACTGCGACTCAACAAAAAAATGAATTTTACACGTGAAGATTTTCGTAAAATGATTTACTACGATTTTCGAAGTAAATTATCTCAACAACAGTGTTTCGATCGACTTCATTTGGCCTTTGGCAATGAAGCACCAACCCTTCAGACAATTTATAACTGGTACTGAGAATTCCGTTGCGGTCGTAGTTCGCTCAAAGACGAGTTTCATACAGGTCGTCCAAAATCGGCTGTTGTGCCACAAAACATCGATGCTGTCAGAAAACTGATTATGGAAGATCGTCATGTGACCTACCGTGAGATTGAGGCATCTTTGGGCATTTCATCCCACAGCATACATACAATTTTGCATGAACATTTAGCCGTAAAAAAGATTTGCTCTCGTTGGATCCCACATAAATTGACCGATGAACAAAAAATGGCTCGTGTGAGTTGGTGTAAAGAAATGCTCAAGAAATTCAATCGTGGTGCTTCAAAAGACGTTAATAAAATCGTCACTGGTGACGAATCGTGGATATATGCCTATGAGCCCGAAACGAAACAGCAGTCGACTGTATGGGTCTTCCAAAATGAAGATAACCCAACGAAAGTTGTTCGAGCAAGAAGCACTTCGAAGCGAATGGTCGCCTGTTTTTTCGGGAGAAGTGGTCATGTGGCAACCGTTCCACTAGAGGATCGTAAGACCGTCAATTCTGATTGGTATACCACCATTTGTTTGCCCGAAGTGTTTGGTGAAATAAGAAAAAACAACCACCGTCGCAAAATAATTCTTCATCACGATAATGCGAGCTCTCACACATCTTTTCAAACTACTCGATTTTTGACCGGTCAAAACATCGAACTGATGGGTCATCCACCGTACAGTCCTGACCTGGCACCCAATGACTTTTTTTTGTTCCCAAGCGTGAAGAAAAAACTACGTGGTCAACGATTTTCGACACCAGAAGAAGCAGTTGAAGCGTTCAAAACACACGTTTTGGAGATATCAGTTTCGGAGTGGCACGAATGCTATGACAAATGGTTTCATCGAATGCAAAAGTGTATCGATCATTTCGGGGAATATTTTGAAAAACAATAAAACCATTTTCGACAAAAAACAACTGTGTTATATATGTTTTTAAAAAAAATTATGGAGCAACCCTCGTATCTAACGTGTTGTTACTGTGGTGCTGTCAAGTTTAGATAATTCCCCGTAGCTTAAAATTGATAGCCAGCGAATGCCAACGCTGACAAAGCCATGTTTCTATGAATGTTTAAAAACGCTTTCACGATATCCCAATTTAGAATGCTCTTTGTGTATGTGTTCAACGGTGCCTTGGCGAAGATTAAGCACATCAACGTATTCGCATCACCTCTTTGAATTCAATACCATAAGCTCCGAAATTTTGAATTGGCGCTGCACCAACACAACCAGGGATTAAAGCAAACGCTTCTAAGCCTACCATTTCATTGTTCAACGTACGTTCGACTAATTGATGCCAGTTTTCACCAGCGCCAACATGAAAATACCATGCATCGTCTTCTGCTCTTATTTCAACACCTTTTAACCGATTAATTATTACTGTGACAGCAAAATTCTCAGTAAATAATACATTGCCTGCCTTCACGTAATACCAAAAATGCGTGTTGACATTTTCTGTCGTTTGCCAAACCATTATTATCTGTTCAATGCTACAATTACGCGACTCACTTTAACCGAAAGTGCAGATGTATTCTAATCTTCTAGTGACATTTTGAAAATGGATTCTAATTCAATACGTTTGCGATGGTCACACAAATTAAGCTGAATTTAGATAACAACCACCTGCAAACCGGAAGAGAAACACAGAGATGTAGATGAAATTTAAATGATAAATATATATTATATCCTTTTTGGAATTGGAAGCGCTGACAATTTCTTGATAATACATTTGAACGCTCTAGAATAAAAACAACGTACAGAATGGTTGTTATATCAAAGCGGAATACGGCGTTTTTTATATAGAATTGTTGTTCCGCTTTGATATAACAACCATTCAGTACGTTGTTTTTATTCTAGAGCGTTCATTTGTATTATTCATATGAAATGACCCTCCCGCAACTGGGATTGCATAAGTTATGTAACATAACTCTAATATTACCCGCCATTTGAAACGTCTATGAAATTTCATCTTAAATGCAATCTATTTGCAATTGGCGAGTTAGTTGGAGTGCAATGGATATTGATTTATTTTTTGTTATCGCAGAATTCGTAACACAAATGGAAAATTACCAAATGTAACACTTTATATGTATATCTCTCGCTCGTACCATCCAACAAATGCACTTTACAATCGATTTTGGTTAGTCAACAGTTAGAATGCGATAAGTGCATTTCATTTTCTGAATTGTGAATGCAAATTATCGTACTTGAAACGTGCCATAGCAAAATGAATGAGTTGATTAGGTCGACTGCACTATAAACCGCCATTAAATCGGGTTCTTTATCGTTCGCTTCATCACAATTGTAGATACTGCGACAGACACCATATTGTAGAATGTAGAGCGTGAATAATTATCAGCTGAGAGAAAAGCTGCGTTCGATTGCTTTATCATTCACCCTTTTGTGAACAAACTTTTTTACACTTATTTTGTAAGATATTTCATCACATTTGTCTTTTATTCGATTGTTCCAATAAGATGTAGACTAAAATCCCAAGGCAACACTCATTTTGATATGAAAAAGAATAAATTCTCCACCTAATCTAAATGATTCTTAAGACACTCCTCAAGATGCGTCTTTAATACAGTTTTAACGACCAAAAGGGGAACAAAACAAAAAGTAGAACACATTTATTGTTGTGTTTTTGAAGAGAAAGACACACAAAAGGATCAACAACGACTAATTACGACACCAAGTATATAAAAGAGAAACATGAGTTGCATGTTTTTGTGACGAGAAGATTCGGAGGCGATACCAGAATAAATTCGGATGAGAATAGACTCACATTTCTTTGTAACAAATGATGCAAACCCAATCGTTTTTGGAGAATGATATGTCGATTCGGCACTCTCGGCACACACGTAAATGGCACAAATTACACTCGGCTCCACGATTAATGTACCCAAAAACGAGACAGCATCGGGCGCACGCAGATTTCGAATCGATAATTGGCCTATCTAACGAACCACCAACCTTAATGGCACCTTTACCACGCAACAGCTGCAAATCTGCTCGCAGCGCCCTATATCAGTACCCCCAACACACATTCGGCGGTACGAGAATTCAGAGCGCAAATCAAAGATGGTTTAAGAAATTGAGTAGAAAAGAAAAAAATGAAAGATAAAAATAGAGAAACAAAGTCAAACAAATCGAATTTCAGTTTGAAAAGAGAAATATAGAGATAAAGATGGTTAGAATTTAAATTGAATTAGTTTGTAAATGAAAAACAAAATGTATATGTGTTTCTTTCAAAATTAAATCAACATACAGATTAAAATATAAATAGACACAAAGATAATGACAACATTGAAATAGATAGTAAACAACAGCAACAACATATAAATAGAGATATATAGATTTTCGAGTTTGAACATTTAGCAAAAGAGTCAAAGTTAAATGAAAAAAGTATTCGTCAACGAAAAGAAACGAAAAAAAAAAAGTATATATTTGGAGAAAAGTCTAAAAGTGCGATACATATCGAGTCGGTGTGCTGTCTATTTGATGATTATCTGTCACATAAAACACAGTCAAAACACAAACATCGACAAAGAGATAAAGAGAGACGGTATTCAATAAATCATTTTGCCTACTTAATGGATGAATCTTTGGTGACAAAGTTGAAAGCCGAATTTTTCTTTCTGTTGCAACCACCTACTCTTGAAATGGTAAAATTCGAGACGAACCAAATCAAAAGCTTTCATCGAGACAATTAATCACACACTTCAATTGAGGGAGAGAAAAAATAATGTGCCGGTATATGAGAGGAAAATGATTGTTGGAAGAATTGTGCAGTTCTCGTCCAGTACTTTCAGTGGAGTCAAACAAACAATAAAGAAGTTGCTGAGTTTGGCTTAAAATCTTAGTGCTTAGTGCGTTGTGTATACACGCAGTTCTTTTTATCCTAAGCTCTTGGCATTAGTCATGTTTTGATTTAGCTAAGATTGTGTGACAAAGCCAGTGCGACCTAAGCACACACCTATGGAAAAGAATTATTATCGATGGAATTGTCAAGTTTTTAAATCAACAAAGATTTATGTATTTTTTGTGTTGATTCCGTTCTTTCAACATAATAGAAGGTGAGAGAGAGAGAGAATACATTCAGTGTGAAAACGTTCGCGAAAATCGATTGATGCTGAAAATGAATTAAATTCCATGACCCAAATTTTGTTCGTGGCATTATTTTTAGCTGTGGAATATTCAAAGACAGTGATTAAGTATGTCAATTAGTTTGGATCAAAGTAATTATTTCAAGAATTATTCAAACAAATTCTTCATCAATTCATTGAATGTCAACAATAATTTTAAAGGACCAAGTTAACCTTCATGCTTCAATGAAAATCAATTAGCTAAACGTTTTTTTTACTCGGTTTAATGCGGTGGGCGCTGGTGAAGCACTTTTTGTATGGAAATATTTGTTGAAAATTCAACAATACGCCACCTATTAAAGACAATAAAGATTTTCGTTACTACTGCTGTCTTGACACAGCTCTAGCGAACTATATAGCTGTATTGCAAACATATTAGTACTGACACCGATTCTGTGTATGCGTGTGTGTTGTAAATTTTGTACAAGCAGCTACGGTTGACGACTGAGTGCAGAATTTGCAATACAAACGGACACACAAAATCAGAGTCAGTGTGTTCTTTAGTAACAAAAATCTTTATGTATTTTGATAGATGTCGTATTCGTTGAATCTTCAACAAAAAATCTTCGATACCAGCGCCCACCTGTTTAATGTTATTTTCCCAACTAAATTGAATTGAATAAATGGGATAAGTTATTAAAGTTTCGGAATTGACTTGGTTCATTTAATTTGGCTGGGCAACAGGTGAACCAATCCGATTGAGCACGTACACGATTGCTACAGATCAATCGATAAAAATTTGTTGCCCCAATGTGAATGAGCAATAGCATTATATTTTTTGTGTGTTTTGTCCTTTAATTTCATTTGAATGGTTTGATTACATCGAATAAAATTTTATTATGCGCATAAACTCATACATGATTACTGTAGCGATATGCATAGACGATGTTGACGACACGGAAATTCCATAATCAATTTACTCTAATTCGGTTTTGTGTCATTCGAACCGAAAAAGCATGCTCGTGCCATATCATCGTTACACATGCCGATATCAATTTAATATATTAACCCTCGGAGACGACAACAGTTTCGAGTTTTTGTGACCGATGGCGAAGACCGATGCAGAGTCCAATAATACCAAAATCGATAACACACTCACACTCACACACAGGTACAAAGAAATGGCAAATTCATTTTGCATGGCAAGCTAGAACGTAGGAATTCAAGTCGATTGAGAAAAATCCAATGTGTACATTATGAAGTATAGAGGAAAATGTTATTCATCGACGCGTTGCATATTTTCAATCACAATTTACAATTGCAAACAGAAGTTAAGTTAAAAGCTTTTACTTCGAAAGCGCATCGAAATGCAAACAGAATATGGATAAAACTCTTTGCACACAATATGTTGCATTTTATGCATTTTCCCATGTCTACATGTGCACTGCACATTCATTTGGGGCAGCCAATTTTAAAATCGAAAGAATGCGAATCGGTTTGTTTATCCATTCAAAGAATCTGTTTTAGATACCATTTAAGCTGGCTTTGATTTATATTTTCCTCCCGAGAATGCATCGCAATCGATATATAAATGTGAAGCTGAGAGTAAAAATGACTTCAGAAACCCAACATCCCGTTCTCGCTTATGAAAATCTCTGTAGAAAGTGACTGTCATTCTCAGCACCACACATCTTCACTCACATATATGTATTCAACGTTCTTGACATGAGTGAAGAATATTTTCGTAATAAAATGGATTTGAACGTGCAAGTGTGCCGTGTAAATTGTTTTTATTGTCTGTTTGTGAAAATGATGTGTTTATTCTGGAATACTTTAACATTTCCGTCGATTTGTAACCAAGATACAACAATGTACCATACCGCAGCATTTGTACATTGTAAATTTGTTGCAACTATTTTATGTTAAAATTTATATGCTCATTGAGATTATATTTGCGAATTTTGATAAGCGAATGAGTCAAGTGGAATTCTATAGAATATTGTGAACACATTTGCTATAGAAGTGGTGTTTTCCATCATAATATTTATTTTATGAGGCTCTCGCAAAATGTCAGGTGCAGATATATGTATTATTAAAATGAATTTGGACGCATATTCTGTATAGTATTGGACGTGCTGTGAATTTAATTAATCGCATTTTTGGTACTATATTTAATTATTCCAAATGTTTTGGAATTTCGAATATTTTGGATAAATTAGTTATAAAGTTTGGCAACCATTTGATTTGCATGGTGAGCTCCGAAACGTTCATGACAGGGTGCCATTGGGATAAAGTACGAGTAAACATGCTTATTTTGTGCCTGTTGATGTTGAATGGTGTTTAAATGCATCCCAATCAAAATGCAACAAATATCTATAAATGCAAATGAAAATCCAATTTCCATCAATCATTTTCATCAAATCGAATTTTTGCTAAATGTGCAAAGTTTAATTGAGTTTTATTGTTTGAATGTTTTACACATGAAATGATTGAAATTCGTGGTAAGCCTTCGAGGCTCGAAGTTCAAGCCTCCCAATATTTGGTTGGATTTTTTAGTGCGCGCACACCAAGAGCATCGAATTAATGGAATCGAGGGAAATTCTTTTGTTGGTAAATGTTTGTATGTATCTGTGGAATGAGTGCGAGAAATTGTTGAAAGATTTAAAGCGATCGGAAACCGGAATAAACACAATCGTTCATCTATTGAACTGAATGAGCTAAATAAATGCGTCGGCAATTTCTAAGCATCAATTCAATTTACCCAATACGATAATGTTTTTTTTTTACTTTGATTTTACAATTCTAAAGCACTAAATCGTGATCCAGAATAAGTACAAAGGTGTGACATTTTACCAGTGTATTTATTTTTATTCTTGAAATCCATATGTCGTCATCGCAATAAATGCAAAAAGCTTGTACGATTGAAATCAATACATATGGATTGATTTCGGTTTTATTCTGTAGAACTTGTTGTTGCTCATTTTTACCTGTTGTATCTACATTCACATAAACTCACATAAACAAAAAAAAAAACGAAAATACACGTGGAAAAGTGATGCTTAAGGTTTCACTGAGCCATTAAATTGTTCTAAATGGAAAAATATACCTGGACTTATTGTAAGGCTTAGTCATAGATCGATCGAAATACTGATAAACAATGACAACAGCGAAACAATTTTGTGTGGACTGCTCGTGGCGAATATGTCATCATCGAATCGAACGAATCCAATATTACATTCTGTCAAAATCAAAGTAACAAATATTCGTATTGCTTTTATTGGCATTTCAGTCAATATTTACCGGGGCTGCGAGAGCAGGCCACATGTGTTATCGATTAGTTTTTATATGTTCCATTGTTATACCGAAAATAGAAACTCATATTGATTGTAGCAAAACAACACACATAAATGTCAATCTAATTGTCCATTAAATCATTTCGAATCTCGATCTTCAATCGAATCACACAGTCGTTTCCGTTCAATCAGTTGAAATCATATGGAATAACTCAATTTTGGATGAAATTGAATTTTCGGATTAATGTAATGAATATAAAAAGAACGTAACTCATGGTCGTTGTATTTCATTACAATGTTCAATGTTCAATTTCGTGAAATGAATCCATCACAGGTGCAATTTCTTTTAATTCAAACTTATAAGATTGATGACATTCATTTGAAATGTATTCGCGAAGCGGATGGATGCGGTGCAACCAAGAAAAGAACAGAAAATCCATTAAATAGTTTGTTACGATAAAGCGAAGTTTTGTTATTTATTTTTCACAATTGTAATAAAACCATAATGACGCACATTCAAACATTAACCTTATTACATAATTCAGCCAGAATGAAATGAAGCTGAAATGTTATTAAAAGCATTTCGGTTGTGCAATTGTGGAAAATGAATCGTGTCCATGTTTCACACTCTTTTGATGAATATC